GCTATAGGGCGCGTGCACTCGCCAGACAGACAGAGAGAGACATAGAGACAGAAAGCGAGAAATCACCCCCCAGGGGGGATGGTCACGCCGCAATCCCTTCTCCTCCATTCTCCTCTCGGGATCTTGGGCACGCACGCACACGCGCCCGGCGTGAGTTTTAAGCCACCGGGTTCGGGACACGAACCGCAGTCGACTACTTGGGAGTCCAGCAACATAGCCATTACGCTAACTGCTGGTTCCCTGCCACTGGATTTTTCACTTTAAAAAAGGCTAAGTTTATGTTATGTGAATTTCAGCAAAATACATATTTTTAAAAGAGTGAGTCTTATATATTCGCATATTAGGAAAGATACTGCTGAGTAAAAAGAGAAACAGTCTGTTTTCTATGACTATTACCAAATGAAGAGAAAAAATTTAGATCTAGGACAAAATGTATAGTGATTAATTACCTCTACAAAGTCGATGTGGGACATAAAGACACGTACTTAATTTTATACACTTTAAAGTTAGTAGAGAAATTACGTTCAAACTGGTAGGGGAAGTCCGAAGTTGGCGAAGGACTAAAAACGCAACAAAGGAGGCAGTTGATTTTCTCAAGTGAAAGTGGAAACTGGGTCTCATGTCGCATTTTTGTTTTTTGCGCTTTTCTTTCTTTTGGCTTTTCAGGCTGCCATCAGCACCACAAACTGGCAAACTGTGTGGAGTGAATTACTCGATGACTCACCACGCCTCGTTTTTTGACCTTTTAGTGCCTGGGGCTAATTGATTCTGAGTACTGGGATCTGCATTCATTTAGTCTGGGTACTGTTTATTAGGGAGCGTTTTTAAGAGCTCGGAAGGATTTGCAGGGTACCATTAGGGAGCTGTGAGTTTGTGCAGGCACGGGCTTGATCTCCTGCGGCAGGTCGGTCAGCGAGCGTGAGCTCAGCCATGAGCCCGGGAGCTCACCCACACCTGCGCCGGCCTGAGGACCTGTGTGGCTAGTTGCACACAGAGCTGCCTTCCTGCCTACAGAGGTCCTGGCGTATACCCTGACATCCTTTGGAAGTTTCTTTTTACATTTTTCATAAGTCATAAATTTGTAAATTGGGACAGAAATTGCCTATAATGTTTTTTTAAAAAGGTAGACTTTTGTAGCATTCCCTTTATATCTTTGCTCATGCACATTTTTGCATAATTATAGTGTTGACGTACACATTTCAGTCTTGATTTTACTGCAATGTACCTAACAGGGATTTTAGGGGCCGAATAGTGTTGCAGTGGTGATGCCGCGCTCTGCGAGGCTGAGCCACATGGGAAGGTTCTGAATTGGCTTCCGATACCCCCCTGCGTATGCTGGGGGTACATGCGTGCCTGTGATTGGGGCTGGCTGGGGCTGGGGTAGGTCATGGTGTGGAGACGGTTGGGGATGGTTGTCTCTCTCTCTTTCTGTCTCTCTCACTTATGGGAAGAGATCTTTTTTTAACAGAAGAAGAGAAATTTTTAGTTTAATTATCTCAGAATTGTCTTAATGGCTAGATACTATTCCATTAGGTAGATAATGATAGCTTTTTTTTTTTTTTTGAGAGATTTTCACTGTAGGGCGCGCGCGCTCGCCAGACAGACAGAGAGAGACATAGAGACAGAAAGTGAGAAATCACCCCCCAGGGGGGCTGGTCACGCCGCAATCCCTTCTCCTACCTTCTCCTCTCAGGATCCTGGGCACGCACGCACACGCGCCCGGCGTGAGTTTTAAGCCACCGGGTCCGGGACATGAACCGCGGGCGACTACGTGGGAGTCCAGCGACATAGCCATTATGCTAACTGCCGGTTCCCGATAATGATAGCTTTATTCCTAATGCCCTTGTGTTGAATAGCTCTCTTAAAATTACATTGTTTTCTTTTCTTGGGCCAGTTCCATAGCCTTAGTGATTACGGGAACTGAGTCCCACATGGCAGTCGTGGTTTGAGTTTCAGCCCCAGCAGCTTGAAAACCATGCTGGGCACGTGTGCATGTGTATGTGCACGCCCACATTCCAACAGGATGGAGATGGAGGAGAAGGGCTTGTGGCATGACCATGCCTTTTTTGGGGGTAATTTATCCCCGCTTCTCTGTCTCTCTCTGGTGAGCACTCATGCCCTCTGGCAATTAAAGAGACTTTCTTTTCTTAATTTTTTTTTCTTTTTCTTTCTTTCTTTCTTTTTTTTTTTAGAGCAAGATTTTTACTATAGGGCATACGCACTTGCCAGAGACACAAGGAGAGACAGAAGAAAGGTGAGATCACCCCCCGGGGGGGATGGCCACACCACAATCCCTTCCCCTCCAGTCTCCTCACAGGATTTTGGGCATGCACACACATGTACCCAGTGTGAGTTTCAAACTGCCGGGTCTGGGACTTTGATCATAGTTGGCTACGTGGGAGTCCAGCACCTTAACCACTATGCAACCTGCTAGTCCCGTTTTCTTACATTTATTTGTGTGAAATCAAAATAATTAAGGGCCAGCCAGTCGCATGGTGGTTAAGACAACTAATCTCACATGGTCAGCTGCACAGTTCAAGTCCCAGACTTGGTGACTTGAAAAACACACTAGGAACATGTGTGTGTGTATGTGTGTGTGTATGTCCCAGTCCTGAGAGGAAAGTAGAGGAGAAGGGATTGCAGCATGGCCCTTCCCTTTGGGGTGGTTTCTCTCTCTCTGTCTCTCTCCCCTCCCTTCTGTCAGTACTTGCACCCTGTAGCAAATTTAAATAAATAACGAAAGCTACCTTAGACTGTCTTCATGCTGATGGCTCATGTGTCACATGCAAAAAGTATTTCTGTCCTCAGGAAATTTATAGTTAAGAGGCAATAAAATGTGATCACTGCAGGACCAGCAGTTGGCGTAATGGCTATGTTGCTGGACTGCCATATAGTAGACCACGATTCAAGTCCTGGACCCAGTGACTTAAACTCACGCCAGGCACATGTGCATGCATGCCCAAGATCCCAAGAGGAGAATGAAGGAGAAGGGATTGGGGCGTGGCCATCTCTCATGGGGGGCAATTTCTTGCTTTCTGTCTTTCTGGCAAACACACGCGCCCTATAGCAAAAACTCCCACCACCCCCAAAAAATGTGATCATTGCTATATCAGGTGTGTCCAAATAGCTGTGGGAGATGAGGATGTGAGAATGTAAGTGAAGCCTTCTTAGAGGAGGTGCCCAGGACAGGTAGGAAATACCTGCTGTGAAATGAAAAACCCATTTCAGGAAGAGAAGGTTGCTTGAAGAAGGCACAGAGGGATGGCAATGTATGGTACATCCAGGGAACAGCAGATAGTTTAATATGGTTAGAAAACAGGAAGCTCGTGGGTGAATGGAAGGATGGAATTCAAAATATGTAGACCGTGGTCAGATTATAAGAGGCCTTCTGCGCCTAACTGAGGAGTTGAAACTTTATACTGAAGGCTGCAGGGAACCATGGTAGGGCATATCTGCTAAATAAGAATATGGTTTTTGAGCATAACAACATCTCATTACTTTGGCCAAGTTTCCAATAAATGTAGTGAACTCTTCTGGACAAGGCCCTCGACTTTCCTCCCGATTACCCATCGTGCGAATGCACTGAGGTCTCATATCATATTTCAGCCACAAGGGTGGGCTTTGGGTGGTTAGATCATATCCGACTCTACTGAGACCTCTTTGGAAAATAAAAATATAGCTCGGGGGGCAAGCAGGTGGCATGGTGGTTAAGGCACTGGACTTCCACATGGTCGACCACGGTTAGACTCCCAGACCTTGCAGCTTAGGGGTCACACCAGGTGCAAGTGTGTGCATGCCCAAAGGCTCGAGAAGAGAATAGAGGAAAAGGGATGGCAGGGTGGCCGTCCTCCATGGGGGTTATTTCTTGCTTTCTGTCTGTCTCTCCCCAATGGCACCTGCCTTAATAGCAAAAACCTCTCTCAAAAAAAAAAAAAAAAAAGAGAGAAGACAAGACCTCGGGAACAATCCTCATGTGATGCCAGGATGATACTTCATGTATATGCATTAGTCAGGACTTTCTGAGAATCCCAACTGAGATACATGTAAATAGCAAGAGGAAGGTACCAGCCTATGTGTCTAGAGGGGCTCTGCTGGCTTCAGGTTCAATGGGATCCAGGGGCTCCAATAGTGCTGGTGAAGCTTGCCTCTTTCCTCCCTCCATCAGTCACTCTCTCCATCCTGCATTGTCTGTGTTCCCTTATTCCCTCCTACAGCCAACAGATTCCTCTGTGTGATGGGGAGGGGGACAGGGTAGCAGCAAGAAGCTCCCACAATCCCAGAGGAATAAAGACTTCCCCCTTCTTCTATCAGTCATGTAGCAAATTACAGGGAATCCTTGCTCATCCCTGAACCAGAGCTGTGGAAAGTTCTGGTGGGTCAGGTCTTGGGGAGCTACCTGAACTGTGTAAAATGGATACCAAGGATAAAGGGATTTGTTCTTAGAAGGCAGAGAAAGGCAGGAACGCTGACCAGGTTTTATTTCTTTTTGGCTGTTGTGTTCTGTTTCCTGGTTTTAGACAGGGTTTCACAACGCTGAGCTCCTCCTGCCTCAGCCACCTAAGTCACTGGAACTACAGGTGTCTCCAGGGTGGGCTGGGAATCAAGCCTGGCTCTGGAGTGTCACCCAGTGCACTACTGCAGCTGGGCCCAGATGTTTCTGTGGGGTTTTCGGTTTTGTTTAAAGGCCATCCACTGCTGTCGCTCTTTGGTCTTCTAAAGACAGACGATGCCCACTGGCAGAAAAAGTAGACTCCTCACTTATCTGAGGGCTCCTTCATGCTGAGCTTGGCCTGACCCGTCCTTGCCTCCCAGAACTGGATGCTCCCAACACGTGCGCGAAAGCAGGCCCTGTCCAACTTTGCTCAGCAGAGGCCGGGACCATGCCCAGCCTTCCCAAGGCCTTGTCGTCTTTCTCTTGCAAGCGTTTCCTGTTGTCAGCAGCCGGATCTACCCGGTGGTGCCGCAGCTCCCCTGACAGTTTGTTTTTCCTCACTGTTTAGCGCTCCATTAGCTTCCGCCCCGTCCTTGCCTCCCAGAACTGGATGCTCCCAACACGTGCGCGAAAGCAGGCCCTGTCCAACTTTGCTCAGCAGAGGCCGGGACCATGCCCAGCCTTCCCAAGGCCTTGTCGTCTTTCTCTTGCAAGCGTTTCCTGTTGTCAGCAGCCGGATCTACCCGGTGGTGCCGCAGCTCCCCTGACAGTTTGTTTTTTCTCACTGTTTAGCGCTCCATTAGCTTTCCGCAGCGAAAGCCGCCCTGACATTCTCGGCCCCCGACCCTGGTCCAGAAATGCCGCTCCCTCAAGCACAAAGCGGAGGGACAGCAAGCTGTGGAGCGAGACCTTCGACGTGTGCGTCAATCAGATGCTTACGTCCAAGGAGATCAAACGCCAGGAGGTAAGCTCGGGACCCAGGCAGCCCGTGTGGCCGGAACAAAAACTGGTGCCGGCGACAGCCACGCCATGGACTGCGCCTCTGTCTGCAGATCAGCTCTCCGTGGCCTGTGTAGGAGGGGAGCACCCACGGTGTCAGACCCTGTGGAAGGAACAGAAACAGCATCCACTTTTACAGTAAACTGACGTGAAAATCTGAATTTAAAATAACGTAAGACCAAGTGTCTGGGAAATTCACAAAACTAGGGTTGACAGGTGGTATGATGGTGAAAGGCGCTGGGCTCCCACATGGCTGACCGCAGTTTGAGTCCCAACACTCCCACATGGCCAACTACAGTTCAAGTCTGGGACCTGGTTGCTTGCTTTCTCACTTTGCCTCTTTCTCTCTCTGGTCAAATCAAAATAAATAAATGAATAAGTAAATAATTAAATAGGTAGTTGTTAGGAAAGAAATTCAGGAAAATAATCATTTTAGTTACATTTCAATAGCAGCTTCATGAATATTTTTAAATACTCAGTTCAACTTTGATTCAGCTTTATAGAAAACTTCTTTTTTTTTTTTTATTTTGTTTGGGTTTTTTTTGGAGAAGTTTTTGCTATAGGGCTTGTGCGCTTGCCAGAAAGAAACAGAGAGACAGAGATAGAAAGCAAGAAATCACCCCCCAGGGGGGATTGCCATGCCGCAATCCCTTCTCCTCCATTCTCCTCTCAGGCTCTTGGGCACGCACGTACTCGCGCCCGGCGTGAGTTTAAGCCACTGGGTCTGGGACTCAAACCACAGTCGACTATATGGGAGTCCAGCAACATAGCCGTTATACCAACTGCTGGTCCCTGGAAAACTTCTTTTCTATGAAGGGTAATTTCAGTCCCTGTAAGCTTTCCGTATCAATAGCTCTAAATGGCTGTGGTAATATTGCCCTTTACAGAGGGCTTGCCATGAGCCAGGTCACACTAACTCTTTGCATGTGCATCATCTGGTAAGGTCCTTGGCGTATCTTTTTCCTTTCTTGTTTTTTATTTGTTTATTTTTTGTGAGAGCTTTTTACTGTAGGGCGCGTGTGCTCGCTGGAGAGACAGAGATAGAGCAAGAAATCACTCCCAGGGGGATGTCCACACAGCAGTCTCTTCTCCTCCAAGCTCCTCTGAGGATTTTGGGCACGCACGCATGTACGTGTGCTCGGTGTGAGTTTCAAGATGCCAGCTCCAGTACTCGAACTGCAGTCAACCACATGGGACTCCAGTGCCTTAACCACTACACCACCTGCTGATCCTAGAATACGTAATTTTTTTAAGGGACCGGCAGTTAGCGTAATAGCTGTGTCGCTGGACTCCCATGTAGTTGACTGTGGTTCGAGTCTCGGACCTGGTGGCTTAAACTCACGCCACGCACATGTGCATGCATGCCCAAGATCCCGAGAGGAGAATGAAGGAGAAGAGATTGTGGCATGGCCATCCTCCCTGGGGGTGATTTCTTGCTTTCTGTCTCTCTGTCTCTCTCGGTCTTTCTGGTGAGTGCACTCGCCCTATAGCAAAAATCTCCCCCACCCCCCAAAAAAAAATAGAGTACTTGAAAATGTTCTAGGTTCTTTGACTCAGCATTTCTTTTCTAGGAATGTAAAAGCCAGGCCAACTTGTACCCAGGAGAAGTGTAAGATTATTCATCACAGTAGTGTTAATAGCACTCGTTTAGAACAAGCCTAGACACTTCCTACCAGGAACTGGTTAAGTAACGAGTGTCCATACGTGATGCTGTGCAGCTGCAGAAACACACAATGAAGGGCTGATGTGTGTGTGGGTAAAGCAAAGTGCAAAGTAGGATATGAGATGTGCTACCGTTTATAAATAGGAAGGAAAAGTGAGTGTGTGCTCTTGTGTGGGCACACGGAGTGTGTAGAACCAAAAGCTATTTCTGGAAGGATACCTGGGGAATTGGCAACATTGTTGCCTCCTGGGTGAGGAACCGCATAGCTAGGAGGAGGTTGCCATCTGCCCCTTTGTGTACCATAAATTATATACTATGTTGATGTATATATAATTGCCCTCAAAAACAGCACTTGGTACTAAAAACAATCCTGTGGAAGAATGTGGCAAACTCTCAACAGTGGTTAAGGAGATGGTATTATGGGTGATTTAAATTTTTCTTCTTTTTGTTTTCCTGTATTTTCCCAAGTGTTAACATGTACGTGTATAGCATCCAATCTGGGACCAGCAGATGGCGTAATGGTTACTTCGCTGGACTCCCACATAGCTGACAGATGAGCCCTAGTAAAACAGACGTACAAGGAAATCTGAGGAATGAACCATAAAAGGCTAGTGACAGACCGTCCTATGCCACGCACAGTTTTTTTTTTTTTTTTAATTTGTTATAGGGCACATGCATGCTCCAGAAAGAGAGAAAGAGAGAGGGAAATCAAGAAATTAACCCCTGGGGGGAAGCCACACCACAGCCCCTTCTCCTCCCCCATCCTTTCTTTACTTGGGGTGTGCATGCACACACACTCGCCGTGTTTCTCAACACCAGGTCCAAGACTCAAACCACACTGAAGGCCATGTGGGATCCAGTGCCTTAACTACCACCCCTCCGGCTGGTCCCTAACCACATAGCATCGTTTTGGTTAGTGACTGGCCATATGTACAATGGAGGTCCCATAAGATGATACTATATAGCCAGTATGTAGTCAGCTGTCCCATCTCGGATCGTGTGAGTACACTCTAGGGTTCCCGCACAACAACACAATTGCCTAAGGATGCCTTTTTTTCCCCAAAGAATTATTTTATTTAACTTTAGTTAGTTAGTTATTTTAATTTGACCAGAGAGGGATAAAGAGAGAGAGAGTCAGAGGGAAAGCGAGAAAGCAAATCACCAGGTCCGAGACTCAAACCATGGTTGGCCACATGAGAGTCCAGCGCCCTTAACCACCATGCCACCTGTCGGCCCCAAGGATGCCTTGCCTAGGTATCCCCATTGTTAAGCAGTGCACACTTGTGTACTGAGCCAATCCACTTTCTGGTTTCGATAATGCACTGTAGTTTTGCTCCCAAGAGTGGCATCTGGGTGACAGATGCACAGGTCTTCCTGGTTGCATTTTCGTGTTCCGTACCTGGCGGCTTCCTTTCTCGCTTTCCCTCTCTCTCACTTTCTGTCTCTGGTAAAATTAAAAAATCATTTTAATAAATAAGATAAAATAATTTAAAAAAAAAAAAAAGATTTGCCAGGAGATTCCCAGATGAGAGCAAAAGAATATTCTTCACATCATAACACTTTATTTTATGACGACTCCCACAGCCAAATTAGAAACGGTCCCTTTATACACTCATGCACTCAGCTGGCTCCTGTCATTTTATTTATTGTGCCTCATAGGGCTGAGAAGTCATTTAGAGCGAATTAACGTCACTGAATTTTATTTAGAGTAGTAAAACATTGGGTTCTTCTTACAATCACAGCCTCAAGACAGTAGGTGATTGGAATAAAGCGTTCTGCCTAGATTCACCTTCTGTTGAGCAGAAGGAAGACAAACTGAGAGCTCCAGTAGTAATACTGCTACGTCAGGACCAGCAGTTAATGGAATGGCTATGTTGCTGGACTCTCATGTAGTCTACCACGGTTCGAGTCCTGGACCCGGTGGCTTAAACTCATGCCAGGCACATGTGCGTGCGTGCCCAAGATGCCAAGAGGAGAATGGAAAAGAAGGGATTGTGGTGTGGCCCTCCCCCCGGGGGTGATGTCTCACTTTCTATCTTTCTGTCTCTCTCTGTCTTTCTGGTGCATGCACCCTATAGCAAAAAACGCTCAAAAAAAAAAAAAATTACTGCTTTATCAATTACTGAGAGCGCACTCCGAGTCACTTCCTATGATTGCCACTCACCACAGAGAGGAGGAATCCATGGCCTGAGCTGTAATTATTTTACCTAAAATAGTTTCCTCTCGTTTGACTGCGTCAGAGTTCTGTAACGTGAAGGAATGACTTGTCGGGTTGGAAACGCGTGTGGAACCTCTGTCTCCCACAGAGAAGCACGTTATGCAGACACTTTTACAAAATCTTTTTTTTTTTTCCCCCCGGGTTTTAGCCACTAGCTGCATTGGCCTCCGGTTAATTTGATAGTCCTTTGTGCAGAGGGCTGTGTGTGCCGGGATCGGTCCTGTGTGGATTCGGCCTCATAAATGAAGGTCAAGTTCAGCGAACGTGTCCTGCTTTTACCTTGCAGGCGATCTTCGAGCTCGCTCAAGGAGAAGAAGACTTGATAGAGGACTTGAAACTAGCAAAAAAGGTAAGTGGAAATCTTGCAGTCTGAGTCATTTCATAGTTTGTTCTTTTGAGTAATTTCATAATCCCGAGATGCTGCTTGGTGAGCGTCCTCTGTATGACTAAGACGAGTCTTCAGAACTTGGGAAGAACCTGCCGGCACAAAGCAGGCGCCGAGGGAAGTGGCTCCCAACCAGAAGGCAGAGGAGCCCCCTGGGCCTGGCACCTTTAAGGGTTTCTCTTCCACATCTCTCTCTCTCCTTTTTTTTTTTTTTTTTAAGAATTATTTTATTTAACTTTATTTATTGATTTATTTTAATTTGACCAGAGAGGGACCCAGTGAGAAAGAGAGAGAGAAAGTGAGAAAGCAAGCCGCCAGGTCTGGGACTTGAACTGCAGTCGGCCATGTGGGAGTCCAGTGTCCTCAACCCCCTCGCCGCCTCAGCCCCTCTTCCACATATCTCTGATGCACCTCAGAGAATGCTTCCTTCCAAATCAGAGGGGTCCATGGAGGCCTGGCTTTCTGTGTGTCCCGTGTTCTGGAAGTCTCACTGCCAGGGTCTTGTTTTTGGTGGGAGAGAACGGGTGGATGTCTGGAACAGGAACAGAGTGCGTCCTAGTGATCAAAGCCATCTGAGTCTCAAAAGTGGGCACGTGTAAAGGAATTGCATGCTATCTTGTAAGTTAGGGTCTTTTATATAGAAACTTGTTTTTAAATCAGCGTTAAGTGTGGGAGAGGAAGAAAACCCTTGCCTCGTAGTGTATAGGTTGTGTGTGTGTGTGTGTATTTTCAATTGCTAGAGGGCATGTGTGCTTGCCAGAGAGAGAGAGAGAAAAGCAGCCTCCAGTGGGGTATGACCATACCATAACTCCTTCTTCATCCCACCCCATTGGAATTTAAGGCATCCAAGCACATGTACCTGGTCTGTTCTTCGAGTTCTTGGGGCCAGGAATTGAGCTGCAGTCGGCCATGTGGGATCTAGTTCTCGTAACCACTATGGTACAGGGCCAGCCCATAGCAGGTATTCTTGATAGCAAACCTTTCTCAAAAACCCTTCCATTCTAGAGGCCAGCGATTAGCGTAATGGCTACGTCGCTAGACTCCCATGTAGTCCACCATGGTTCAAGTCCCGGACATGGTGGCTTAAACTCATGCCGGGCACATGTGCGTGCATGCCCAAGATCCCAAGAGGAGAATGGAGGAGAAGGGATTGCCTCGTGGCAATCCTCCCTGGGGGGGGTGGGGTGGTGATTTCTCACTTTCTGTCTCTCTGGCAAGCATACACGCCCTATAGCAAAAACCTCTCAAAAAAAAAAAAAAACAACCTTCCATTCTAGTGCCAGCAGGTGGCATGGAGGTCAAGGTGACTGGGTTTCATATGGCCAACTGCACAGCCTGAGTGCCGGACCCGCAGCTTGAAAATCATGCTGGGCATGTGTGTGTGTCAAATCCAGAAAGGAGACGGGAGGAGATGGGTTTGCAGTATGGCCACCTCCCCCAGAGGATTCTTATTCTCATTCTCTCTCTCTCACTCTTTCTTTCTCCTCCCCACCCCCAAGCAAGCATATGTGCCCTATAGCAAAGCAAAAAGCACTTCTATTTCTGTGACCCTCCCACCCCGACTCTAAGAGCTGGAAGCTGAAATCCACTCACCAGATATTCACAGCCTTCTCAAAGAGTCACGGGGTCAGAAGCATGCCCTCTTTTTTTTTCTGGGGGGGGGGGAGGTTTTTGCTGTAGGGTATGTGTGTTCACCAGAAAGACAGAGAAAGACACAGAGAAAGAAAGAGAGAAATCACCTCCCAGGGGTGATGGCCATGCCGCAATCCCTTCTCCTCCATTTTCCTCTTGGGATCTTGGGCACGCACACACACGCACCCAGTGTGAGTTTAAGCCACCGGATCCAGGACTCAAACTGTAGTCAACTATATGGGAGTCCAGCAACATAGCCATTACAACAACTGCTGGTTCTGGATGCCCTCTTCTTTTAAAGTTCCTTAGTCCAACTTCCTGTCAATCTCAAGACTTACTTCTAGCATTCTTGAGAGACAGCCATCCAATCTTTGCTTGGATAGAGCCAAGAAATTGGTTGTAGGCAGACAGAAATGAAAGAGATTAGAGGGGCTGGCAGGTGGCATGGTGGTTAAGGACACTGGTCTCCCACATGGCCACTCGTGGTTCAAGTCCTGAACCTGGTGGCTTGCTTTCTCACTTTTTCTCTCTCTTTCACTCTCTCTTGCTCTCATTCTTTCTCTGGTCAAAAATGTAAAAATAAAGTTAAATGAATTCTTTTAAAAAATAAAAGAAAGAAAGAAATGAAAGAGAACAGAGAAAGCATTTATCTCTGGGAGACATCACCCAGGTCTGATGGCCACCTCCTCCTTCCTGCATCAAAATGACCCAAAGCTGGAGTCAAGCGGCATGGTAGTTGAGGGCACTGGACTCCCACTTGGCCAACCATGGTGTGAGTCCCAAACCTTGAGTCTTGCTTTCTCACTTTCCTTCTCTTTCCACAGCAGTATGCCAGTTGCTGGGGAGAGCCAAGTCCACCCCCTCCTTCTGGCATAGGATGCTCTCAGGAGGCTTTGCAGAGACAACTCACTTCCCTACTTCCTGGTTTAAATGTTTGCTTCCATCTCTTGCCCTCCCTCTGCAGGCCTATCATGACCCCATGCTGAAACTCTCCATAATGACAGAACAAGAGCTGAATCAAATTTTTGGAACACTGGACTCTCTCATTCCTCTACACGAAGGTATACCGCTGTCCCAATACGAGTCGTGACGTGTAGCCTTCATCGCGTTGTCTAAGAGTCAGGGATTATGTAAGACTGTGAATAACTCAGAACCTACTTCCAGCCCTGTTCAGCTTCAGGTACCTGACAAAGTAAACATCCTGTTTGTTTTTTGCCAGAACTCCTTAGTCAGCTTCGAGACGTCCGGAAGCCCGATGGCTCGACTGAACACGTGGGTCCCATCCTCGTGGGCTGGGTAAGAGAAGCTCTCCATTCTTGGCTGAAGATAAATTTCAGTAATTGAAGTGGAATTTTAGTTTAGCTAGACTTTTTTTTCTCTTTTTTTTTTTTTTGAGGGAGGGGGGAAAATACTGGTTTCACATCATAAAGAAAACACAATGGCAAAATTCTGGTGGGGCAGCAGTAAAATGCATCACTCTGCAAGGCTGACCTACATGGGAAGGTTCTGGGTTCATGTCCCGAAACCTCTCTGAGTACACTGCGTGCACATGGGCCCAGATCTTGTGGCTGACAGGGGCTGCAGGTGGATCACAGTCTCAGACCCTGTTGGGGTGCCCTATCCCCCTCCTCTCTTTCTTTCTCTCTCTCTTCCCCTCTCACTCATGGAAGAAAGAAATAAATAAACTTAAAATTTTACTTCTAGTAAAATTATAATTATATGTAAATTCTTTTCCAAGCATGAAAATAATTTTTTTCAATTATGAATTTCCTGCATTTAAAGATAACATGGCCTTGGAGCCAGCAGGTAATTTAGTGGTCATGCCTCTGGATTCCCACATGACCCACTGCGGTTTGAGTCCTGGACCTGCTGGCTTGAAAATTATTCTGGGCACGAATGCAGGTGTGCCCAAAATCCTAGGAGGAGCATGGCAGAGGGAATGCAGTGTGGCCATCCTCCCTGGGATGGGGGATCACTGTCTGTCTGTCTGTCTGTCTCTCTCTCTCTCTCTCTCTGACGACTGCCTGCACCCTATGGCAAAAACAATTTAAAAAAAACGATTATGTGGGCTTTTTTACAATAAAAAAATCTCCTGGTCAAAATATAATTCCATGGGACCAGCAGTTAGCCTAATGGCTATGTCGCTGGACTCCCACGTAGTTGGCCGCAGTTCGAGTCCCGGACCCAGCGGCTTAAACTCATGCCAGGCGCATGTGCGTGCGTGCCCAAGATCCCAAGAGGAGAATGGAGGAGAAGGGATTGCGGCGTGGCCATCCCCCCTGGGGGGGGATTTCTTGCTTTTCTATCTCTTTGTCGCTCTCTGTCTTTCTGGCGAGCGCACACACCCTATAGCAAAAGCCTCTCCCCCCCCCAAAAAAAAAGTATAATTCTATAAACAAGTAAATGCTGCTAATATTTGCCATAGAGGTGATCCTAAGTAACTCCGCAGGAGTTACTAATTAAAGAAATAAGCTGTCCTCTTCTGTGTGGCCTAGGGCTGAGTTCCTGTCTTACTGGGTGCATCGCAGTGTTCTTTGGTTTAATTACTTTGGACAAGACACTGCAGTTTCTATTTTGCCATAGTCCCCACCACTCCTTGTTGTATACATCCTTGTTTTCTTCTGTGAGCACGGGAGTTTTCTACCACAGCGCCCGGTGTTTTCTAAAGCAGGTCGCTGGATGATATCTTCTAGACAGGAGGGGGTTTCTCATCCCTCTGACCCACACTGCACACCAGAAAAAATAGGCAGGCGTACCACAACTGCACATGTTGGAAGCCACGTCACTGTTTGGTTGTAAATCCCACTGTCACTGAGCGAGTTCTCTTTATCCCCTTACCTTTGTATTTTAACCTTCCTAAAACCTTTCAGTGCCCGTTCAGGGCAGAAAGGTGTAACATTGGTAATGCATGCTTCTCCGTTACTGCCTTGGTCAAGAAACTTTGAGAGTTCCATACGTAGACAGCTTTAGTTCAGGAGTCAATTTTAGCTCGGAGGCCAAAATATCCCAAGGGTATCTGAAAGGCAAGTAATGTTCTAACATGAATAATTTAGAAAATGGGCCTTAATATTTTAGGAGAGATCGTTCCTCTGACATTTTTGACTTTCATTTGCGTATGAGCCACGGTAGATGTTTTAGCTCCTTCAGCCCACAAAGAAATGTCTTCATACAGAGTCAGCCCAGTAGAGACAGAGACAGTGAAATGAGGAGAGGGTCTTCCTCAGTGTTCTTCAATGGCTTGAGTCTGTGGGCTGCTTTGAGGGGAATCCAGTGGGGACAGTCAGGCCACACGATAGACTCCGCAGGGGGTGACCGGTCTGTTTGTGATGAAGTGACACTATAAAAGAAGCTACATGGTTTTCCTTAAACATCATATGCAAATTTGTGCCAGGGGTAAAATTGGAGGCATTTACCTTATTATCTTCTTTCTGAAATAAACCCTTTGCGTCACTTTTTATTAGGAAACTGGTTTGCTCTGGGGCGGTGTTTAGTCCTTTTCCATACATTCTCAAAGGAACTGTGGCCCTGTGAGCTGCTGTCTGGACCCTTCAGGCACCCATGGAGACCTGCAACTTGAAGAGTGCCTGAAATTGAACAACTCACCCGTTGTTATCAGGCTTCGTGAGAATGGCCCTTGTTTATTTCCCTCTTCTAACTACAGCTGTGGCCACGTGAGTGGGAGCTGTAAACCAGGGGGTACATCTGTGCGAGTTCTGGTCTTTTTAACACAACTACATAAACATCTTAGTGGACTTTGAATGAGAAAAGTCAGAGCCCATTCGACCCATGAAAAATGGATTTATTTTTTCTCCCCCAAAGGAAAAAAGTGAAAAACACCCTTTTAAACAAGTGAGTCTCCCAAGTGACACAGCTCTGGCCAGTCCTTTTAACCTTAGAATGAATCAATTACTTTTACTTTGAAGACTTTAAATAGAGTGGTTGTTTAGGGTTTGGGGGTTGTTTTTCCTTTTCTTTTCAGGGAACTAGCCTGGTTGCTGAGGTCAGTGCCCCCCTCAGTAACAGGAACGGATTGATCCGAGTGAGTCCGCCTTCCCTATCATCAAGAAAGAGCTTTCCAAGTGACTGATCTCCGCGCTAAGATTGTTTCAGTAATCAAATAATTTATAAGCCCTTTAAGGCATAAGTTCTCGTGTTAATTTGGGTTCTAATTAAATTTTAATTCCAAAGACAGAGGGCACATGGAAGCAGAAAAGTAGATTTGTTCTCTCTTTTTACAATGTTAGGGAGATAGAATTTCTAAAGATGGCAAAAATATTTCCCTTGCAAATTCTTTTTTTTTTTTTTTCTTTAATACAGAGACTTGTATGCAGTGATCCTCCTGCCTCAGTCTCCCCCGTAGCTGGAGCTATAGGCTCACACCACAGTGCCTTTTAGGGTGGGCTGGAAATTGAGCCCGGCTTCCCATGAAGCCTCTGCCTACCAAGCAGCAGTATATACCAAAGCACACTGCCACCGCCGGGTTCCCTCCCCTTATAAATTTTTTTAGTTGCCAGAGGGCACATGTGTTTGCTAGACAGAGAGGAGAGAGGGAGAAATCACCCCCCGAATGAGGGGTGGTCAAGCCACAATCCCTTCTCCTCCATTTCTCCATCTTGGCGAGATTTGGGGCATGCACACACATACACTTGGTATGTTTTTCGAGTCTCCAGGGCTGAGATTTGAACCACAGTTGACCATTTTTCGAGTCTCCAGGGCTGAGATTTGAACCCCATTTGGCCATGTGGCTCCGTTAACCACTAGGCCATGGGGCTGATTCATCTTTTTTTTTTTTTTCCCCTCTAGTTATTTCATTTTTTTCATGAGAGAGAGAAAGAGACACTCTGACCAGGGCTCATCACACCACCCAGCATCCTTCCCCTAACCCAGCAGCCTTCCAGCCAGCCAGGATTTGGGCACACACAGTGTGCTCAGGTTGACCTGGGATCTGAACCCATGGTCTCCCATATGGCTTCCCACGTTGCAGAGCAGCACCCTACTGCCTGTGCCACCATGGCTAGACCCCTTATAAATTCTCGATGATCTATTTGGAGAGATAGGAAAGAGCTCAGAACTTTGAGCGATGGAGTGGAGCAAGAAAAGCATCAGACTCTAGTTTTGTCTCCAGCTAAGCAAGTAGCGTTGCTTCTCTGAAACACAGTTTTTCAATAGAAGTACCCCATTATAATAATAACGGCTAGTACTCCTTGTTTACCCAGCAGCCAAACTCTGCTATGCTTTTTATATACCTTAAAGGAGGAGGGACATCAGTCTATGCATTTTGTTAGTGGGGAAATTGAAGCTTAGCAGAGTCACCGTTTAGCAGCTGTCCAAACTAGGCTTTGAACCTGACTCTCCTTGATTCCAAAGTCTGTCCTATTAAATCACTCCACTTCCACCTCTCTTGTTTTAAATGTGAGTGTGTATGGATTTAGGAACCAACCCCTGTCTATTCAGTAGTTAAAAGTTCCTTGTGGTTTTTGTCTAGCCACAGGCTGAAGCAGACAGCCTTTTAGGTCATGCCCAGGAAATGAGCACCCTGTCAGGTGTGAACACAGGACCTGAGCCTGATCTGGTTGCCATGGCAGCAGGCGGCAGGATCAGAGCGAGTAATGGCCCAGGCCGTGAGGTCGGGTTCCTTGCTAGTTTACATCCGACAGTGCCTGCTGATTCGTGTCTCCGTTAGACAGCAGTGGGCTTTTCCAGGTCTTCTCAAGAGGTGAGGAAGGGGAAATGAAACTAAGAGGGCCCGAGGCCTTTTCCATTAACTCTGTAAGTCCAGCTTACAAGCTACATTAGCACATCTGGGACGTGTGCGTGCGCATGTGCACACGCACCAGTTATTACTTTCCAACGTAAGACTGAGGAAATGAATTTCTGTAGCTCTTTTTAACATATGAGAAGTTTTGTTTTTTTCCGGAGTTTTTTTTTAAGAGAGATTTTTTGCTATAGGACGCATGCACTTGCTGGAGACACACAGAGAGAGATAGAGTGAGAAATATGAGAGATCACCCCCCCTAGGGGGATTGGCTATGCCACAATCCCTTTTCCTCCATTCTCCTCTTGGGATTTTGGACGCACACACACGTGGTTTCAAGTCACTGGATCCAAGATCCCTTTTCCCCCGTTCTCCTCTTGGGATTTTGGACGCACACACACACACACACGCACACACACACACGTGGTTTCAAGTCACTGATCCAAGACTTGTATTGCAGTCGACCATGTGGGAGTCCAGCATCTTAACCACAATGCAACCTGCTGCCTCCCCGCAAAAGTATTTTATAACATGTAAGGAAGGTGGACATTTCCAGGGAATGTTAAGCTCAACAGAGAACTTTTTCTGTAAGGTTTCTGGAGTTTTTTTTCTCTCTCTCATTTCTCTTTGAGCAAGAGAGAAAGGCATCCCAGTAAGACTTTCACATCAAGATCCAGCCCCAGCCAGGTCCCAGGCGCACGCACCTCCATAATGTTCAGGACGGTCTCTGATGTGAATCCAGAACCCTCCCACGTGGGTCAACTTCACAGAGTGTTCGCGTTATCACTGCACCACCAACGGGCCCAACGGTGACCTTTACCACATTACTTCTCCAGTATCTGTTTTTGGTTTAAGTCACTGAAAGTAATGTCAATAAGAGATGTAAAAGAAGCAACAGACTCTTTAAACCCTCAGATGTTTTCACACCTTATTTTTCAACCATGTCTCTAAATCATCACGTGTTGCCTGGTCTTCTGATCCATTGAACGTTCATTTATGTGTCCATCCCAAACACGACCCTGGAGTGTCTGCTGTATAGTAGGCCAGTGTAAAGCATCGGGGATGTGAAAGCGAAAGACATGCTCTCGCTGCTTTCTTGCACCACTTCCCTCCGCAGGGCAGATGTAGTGGTGAACACGTCTTCACAGTCCAAGGGTGGGAGACAAATGCATCTTGGTCATTGGCCACATCTTATCACCTCTGGTAACGTCCTAGAGGCCAATAGCCCTCTCAGTAAGACTCCAAGTTCCGGGGCCATAGAGGGAGAGGAGTAGAAAGGGGGGTGAAAAGCCCTTGCCAGGGAGCCTCTGACATGGTATCTGCCCAACACGACTGATGGGACCTGGCCGGAAAATTAGCATCTTCCTGGAACGAAAGTAATGGAGTTGAAATGTTCCAAAGTCTTTAAGCTTAATTTGTTTTTGGCATGGTATTGTGATGTTAACCATTAGGTATAGCCAAAAACTGTTCCTAGCCTGTCAGAGCTAATTTAAAAGATTTTTTATAAATGCTTTGTACTTCTGATTATTATTTTTTTATTTTTATTTTTATTATTATTAATTTATTTTGCCACAAAAGCACACAAAACAGAGCAATACATAAAACTCTTCTCCAAATGGGAAATATCCCAAACAAATGTCTGTGAGCTGTTCCTAAAAATGATAGGACTACTCTACTCAAAATATTAGGTCATTGGAAAAGTCATGATGTATTTTCATATGTTTTTCTATACAAGTGTGTCGTGACTTTTCTAGTGACCCGGTAGTTCCGGAAATAACTAAAGAATTAACTAGAGAGGGAAATGACTTTTTTTTTTAGATTTTTGCTGTGGAGTTGTATGCTCACAAGAGAGAGACAGAGAGAAGAAAAGTGACAAGTCACCCCCTGGGGAGATGGCCATGCCGCAATCCCTTTTCGAGTCTCTTATCAGGACTTTGGGCATGGAAATACACGTGCCTGGCGTGATTTTCAAGCTGCTAGGTCCAGGACTTGAACTTCAGTCAACCATGTAGGAGTCCAGCTTCTTAACCACCATGTCACCTGCTGCTCCTGTGCATCTGATTTTTAATAGATTACATGTTTGCTTTAACTCTTTGAGGCCCTTTATAGGTAAGCTATCTTGGAATCAGGTCATCTTAAACTAGTGTCGAGGTGGTTCCTCCAAGCTTAGTGAAGGCCTGGACTTCCCTGGTGAGTCTTGACTCCTTGCCACTAAGTCTTCTAGAGAGTTTCTTATGAATAATTTTTAAAGAAATCTTAAGAAAATGGGGGTCAGCAGGTGGCCACAGTTCAAGTCCCGGACCTGGTGGCTTGCTTTCTCACTTTCTCTCTGTCTGTCTCATTCTTGCTCTGTCCCTCTCTGATCAAATTTAAAATAAATAAATTTAAAAAGTTAAATAATTCTTTTAAAAAATGGCTTTTGAGGGACCAGCAGTTAGCGTAATGGCTATGTCGCTGGACTCCCATGTAGTCAACCGCAGTTCAAGTCCCGGACCTGGCAGCTTAAACTCATGCCAGGCGTGTGTGCGTGCGTGCCCAAGATCCCAAGAGGAGAATGGAGGAGAAGGGATTGCGGCGTGACCATCCCCTCTGGGGGGTGATTTCTCGCTTTCTGTCTCTCTGTCTCTGTCTGTCTTTCTGGTGAGCACATGTGCCCTATAGCAAAAACCTCTCAAAAAAAAAAAAAGGCTTTTGCCTTACTAAATACTTTGGGGAGATTAGGAAAATTCTGGATTACGTGCCACACCCAGTCATTCTGGTTCTATCATTTCTAGCTTACATTGGCCAGAATCACAAGCTAAATTATGACAGTGTTAGCAATCAAGAAAGTGAACATAACAACAGACAAGTAAATAGAACAACTCTGTGAAAGCAAGCAAGAGCTTAAGAAAACTGTCCGTTGACTGCCATTTTGAAGATAGTACCGGTTTCCTCCAGCCATTCAAATAAAGGAATGTTGGCCAAACCTGGAGACCAGTTAGATGTTTGTTCATTTCCAACAAGAGGTGGTAGCTGGTCACTTCAGCACGCAATTATTTTCATACTTTAACCTCCTTTTTCTGTTTCCTTCTTAGCTGCCTTGTCTAAGCTCCTACGACAGCTACTGCAGCAATCAAGTGGCCGCCAAAGCTCTCCTGGACCACAAAAAACAAGATCACCGCGTCCAAGATTTCCTACAGCGATGTTTAGAATCCCCCTTTAGCCGCAAACTAGACCTCTGGAATTTCCTTGATATTCCAAGAAGCCGTCTGGTGAAATATCCCCTGCTTCTCCGGGAAATCTTGAGGCACACGCCGAACGACAACCCAGATCAGCAGCACTTGGAAGAGGCTGTGAGTTTGTTTCTTTCTGTCTTCCTCTGCTATTTCTCCCATAATGGCTGGCGGGCTGGGTCCGGGGGTTAATGGTAGAGTCCCTAGGTACATGAGACTCATGGGTTTCAGATCTGGTGCTGCCATCAACCATGGAGACCATGGTTTGGTTTTGCAAGTTGCTTCTCTTCTCTCTGCCTCAGTTGCCTAACCTGTAAAATGCATAAGACACAGACTACGGCCCCTTAGAAGTTATAGGTAATTAGAGAATCAGAAGCCTTGACCCCGCTGAGCAGACTGCCTCCTCTCCCAGAGAGGGGTGTAATAAGTAGTAACAGCAGCAACAGCCATCACAACGCTGACAGTGGGTGGGTACCTACCAAATCGACTTTATATGCTCACCTTCTAACTTGAATCTAACTTAATCCTCTGAACAACATATGATAGCTAGTCCTATTAGGACCATAGTTTTTCTTTTTTCTTTTTTTTTAATTTGCCAGAGAGTTTGTGTGCTTTCTGAAAAGAGAGATGGGAAGTACCCCTCGGAGGGCTTGGTCACGCCTCAACCCCTTGTCCTCTATTTCTCCCTCTTTCAGGATTCTGAGCACACTCATACATGTCCATCTTGTTTCTCCGGACACTGGGTTCAGGACTCGAACCATGTGGTCAGCCATGTGGGATCCAGCTGTTTTAACAGGCCACAGGATTACCTTAGGCCCGTTTTCTAGGTGAGGGTTGGAGGAGTTAAATAGCTTGCCCAAGCCCAGAGGCAGCAAGATGGGGTTGCTGTTCAATGTAGTCTCTAAAGCCTGACCACTTCTTTTAGCCGCTGCCTTTGGAACTGCAGAGTGCTGTGTGGTCGCCAGGCTTTGTGGAGGGGCCTCGTGGGTGCACAGTCGGACTGGGTGCGTCCACATACCCAGGGTAGAGAAGAATGAGGACAGACTCTCCCGACTCCTTGTGTGTTTGATGTATGTGACAGGCCTGACGCACAGACCAGGCCCCCGATCCGGCACGGATGGGAGACGTAGGCAGCGGGGAGGAGGCCTGGCTCACTTCATCATGTCTGTTTTTATTACTGAGAAGAGCGTGATAGAGTTCCTCCTCTCCATATTTCATCCCAGCGAGTGTGTGGTCTGCTGGGATAAAAACAACAGAGAGCTCTAGCTTCTCTAAATAATTACTTTTTGGGAGCCCACACAAGCCTGTTCAGAGTTTCACCATAAAGACGTATTTTTTAAAATATGCAATGTAAAAGAATATTCCTCTCAATAAAAAAATAAAACAACATACACCCAGTGAGCTAACATGCGAACGTAAAAGCGGGTAGGTAAGACTATGATTGTTCGCAGTACGGAAGGATGGGTCAGGAACGGCTGCTGTGGTGCATGACGCGTGCAGCTACTTTCAAGAGCTGAATGTGCCCCGAGTCGTTTGGGCAGCTCTGTGCCTAAAGATAATGTGCCCGTGTTTGCCATCTTTGCAAAATGCCCATTTGCACAGTGTAGACACAGACATTTTCCCCCCTTCCTTCAAAATCCTTGGAGCATTACCCTAGATGAGCAGAAATATCTAGCCCGGTACTCTTGGGCGCAGTGCGAATGTTTGGGAAACACAAAATCCATTGTGCCAATGCTGCCTGACTGAAATGGTCCCCGAATACATTTGCTGCCTATGAAAAGAGCAATTTATGAAAATTAGAGCATGTTAAGGAAATTGCTTTCACATAGAGAGAGCAGATTGCATTCAGTCCTTTGAGTATATGTAAAGAAAGGTCTTGCCTTTAATGTAGTGTGTAGATGACCACATCTTTATTAAGTGTTTCTTTTCTCTGTTTTGTTTAGTTTGCTATGGGGCATGTGCACTTACCAGAGAAAGAGAGACAGAGAAAGGGAAAGTTAGACCTCACCCCGCACCCCAGGCCACATCATAATCCCTTCTCTTCCATTTTCCTCTAGGGATTTCGGGTACTCACCCACAACCCAGGCTGTTTTCCAAGCCTCTGGGTCCAGGACTCAAACTGCTTATTTGGTCATGTTGGATCTTGTTACCTAAACCTTCGTGCCACCCACAGGCTCCCATAAAGTTTGGTTTTAGTTTAGTTGTTGTTGTTATTATTTTAATTTGCTATAGGGTACATGCACTCAGCAGAGAGAGACAAGTGAGTAAGCAAGCCGCCAGGTCCAGTATTCAAACTGTAGTCAGCCAGCGTAGGCGTCCAGTGCCCCAACCGCCATGCTACCTGTTGGCCCCTGTAAAGTGTTTCTTAATAGTGTTTTGAGGGTTGATAGAAATTTCTCCCCGAAAAATGACTTCTTAAAATTGGACTTTGAATGCTCAGGTATTCAGAGAACTCATTGTTGACTGTTTTAAATTCTAGGGATTGTTTCAGCCAGAAAATGGTCCTGAAAACCACCCCTTCTTCCTACCTACCACTGCTCCCTAACTCCTGTAAAATAATAATAATAAATTTAAAAATTGGGACCAGCAGATGCTGTGATGGTTACGTCACTAGATTCTCACATGGCTAACTGTGGTTCAAGTCCTTGGCCCAGAAGATTGAAACTCACTCTAGGTGCGTGCATGTGTGTGTACCCAAGATCCTGAGAGGAGAATGGAAGAGAAGGAATTGTGGCATGGCCATCCCTCTTGTGGGGGATCTGTCAGTAGAAAGATCTCGAGGATAGAAATTATGATTTTTAAAAGACAGTTACTGTTCACCAATAGAACCCAAACAAAACATCATCTTGCTCCAGAATTTGAAGCTAAGACATTTCAGAAGTTAAGTTTGGATAAGGGGCTTTGTAATTAATTTGCAACTCCTAGCTTCCTAGCTCTTCTATCTTCTACTTTATATATTCTATCTTCTATTTTATATATACTATATATATATATGTGTGTATATGCCTAACATTTAAACGGGATGGGAAGCGAAGTGGGGGGGGCGTGCTTTCTCTCTCCCCTCCCTTCTCTCTCTCTCTCTTTCCATCTCTCTGGTGAGCACATGTGCCCTCTGACCAAAAAAAAAGAAAAAAGAAGACCCTCATGAAGTTCAGGTGTATAGATGCAGAACATACTTAGTGAATGAAAGCAGACCCAGAGTTACTATTATAAATGATACATAGAGTGTGGAAAGATAAGACTTATTATTTCTGTTGTTTTTGTCTCTATAGTTTTTCGAACAGCAGAGAAAGCAGCAGTTTTTGAAAGCAGCCATAGCTGCGTAAGGAAGCACTGTGCGTGCGAGTGCATTAATCTTCATGTGTTATGCCCGCGGCTCAGTTCCGTAGTTGAATTAGGAAATGAGCACATCTTTATGCTTTTATCTTCCTTCTGTTTCCTGGATCGGCAGGAAACGCAGAAAATTGGTTCCAGTATTGATGAAGGCTAGCTGACCCCGGTGTATCTAAGAATAATTAACTGATAAGATAAAGCCACCGCAATTCTTGCTGAAGTCTTTAAAAACAACAATTCCACCACATATTAAAAATGTAGGCGCCAGCAGATGGTGCAGCTGTTGCATTGCTGAGTTCTCACATGACCAACTGTGATTCAAGTCCCGAACCTGGTAGCTTGAAACTCACACCAGTCACGTGCATGTGTGTGCCCAAGATCCTGGGAGGAGAATGGAGAAGGAATTGCACCATGGCCATACACCTGGGGGGAGGGGGTGATTTCTCACTTTCCTTCTCACTGTCTCTCTTTCTCTCTGGAGAGCACATGTACTCTAAGGCAAAAAAAATTCTTAAAAAATATGTAAGGGGGTCGGGCAGGTGGCACGGTGGTGAAGAGTGCTGAACTCCCACATGGCCAAGCGCTGTCCACGGTGGTGAAGAGTGCTGAACTCCCACATGCCCAAGCGCTGTCCAGATCCTGGACCTGGCAGCTTGCTTTCTCACTTTCTCTCCCCTACCCCCACCCCCATCCCGGTCAAATTAAAAATAAGTAAATAAATAAAGTTAAATAAAAAAATAATTCTTTAAAAAATGTAAGGAAGTAAAAAGTTATGGTAGACATGAGATACTTGCTCAGATACTTCTCACGCTTTAAGCTTCTGGAAGGCAGAGACCCTCTCCCGTTTCTTTGAGTGCTACGACCTAGTCTAACACTGAACAGGTGGTCAATAAACACAAGTTAACTTACTTTAAAGGATGAGTCAGTCTTCATATATTTTGTGAAGTGTCTTTTCTGTTTTGAAAATAACAGCAAAATGGGCCAGCTGGCCGCACGGTAGTTAAAGTAGCTGGATCCGGCACGGCCGGCTATACATTTGAGTCTTGGACCCAGCATCTTGTAAAACACAGCAGGTGCTCGCTCATGCATGCCTAAAATCCCTAGAGGGGAATGGGGGAGAGAGAATATGGCATGACCACCAGCCCTGGGGTCGGGGGTGCATGCCTAAAATCCCTAGAGGAGAATGGGGGAGAGAGAATATGGCATGACCACCATAACAGAGAAAGAGAGGGAGGAAGGAACAAAGAGAAAAATAAGAAGTAACAATGAGTAGTCATCTCCGAAAATTAAGGGAGGAATAAGGAAACAAAGCAAGGGCTGGCCCTGTAGACTAGTAGGTAAGGGAGCTGGATCCCACATGGATAACCATGGTTTGAATCCTGTCCTCAGTGGCTTGAAGAAAGAGTCCAGGTGTGTGTGCTTGTATGACCAGAATCCAGGAAGGAGGAAAAGATGGAGGAGAAGGGATTGCGACGTGACCTTTCCACAGGGGGGAGGGGGATGCTTACCTCTACCTCGCGGCAAGTGCACACCCACTCTGGCAAAGTTCAAAAACAAAAGCAGTTACTTCCACCTGAAAGAGCTGTCAGTCTTTTCAGTATTAGGGACCAGAGGACCCCGCTAAGGAAGTCGTTGTTTTGCCTTTGATCATTGTCATTGTGCTTTTTGGCTCAACTCATTTCTCACTTTTTTGCTTTCTCGTATTTTCTGACATTTAGAAAATGTTATCCGTGTAATGCAAGAACAACACATTCGAATAAATACCCACTGATTGCATCTTAGTGCCTATTCTTGTTTTGCCTTTTTTTTTATTAATGACATTACATTCCCTATCACTTGGAAATCTTCCTGTCCCTGAGTTATTCACTTCCACGTGCTAGTCATGAGCGTGAATGTACATACACAGACTGTTCCGACACTACTCCTAGTGTCTTTTCATTCCTTCCTTCTCATCTCTGTCCTTTATAAAACATTTGTGCTTTGTCACTAAAATGATATCCGAGTCATCTGTTCACACCCCATGTACAAATACTCTCCGTACATCAGGTCAAGTCCATGAAGAAGGACCTGGAAACTAACTTTTACATCCCAGAGATTATTCCTTGTTTAGACTTCTGCATTCTGCTTTGTGTTAACTTTATGTACTTATTTATTTTGACCAGAGACGGACAGAGTAAAAGAGACAGAGAGGTAGTGAGAAAGCAAGCCGCCAGGTCCAGGACTTAAACCGCGGTCGGCCATGTGGGAGTCCAGTGCCCTTAACCACCATGCCACCTGCCAAGCCCTATGCCTGCATTTTTAATGCTGTGAGCCTGATTAAGAAGTGTGCAGGATGGAGCTCAGTAGTTGAGAATTACACATCAGCGACTATGTGTGTGTCTTCCACTTGGATAGAAGTATACATCAATATCGGTTTTATATATAATGCAACTATCTGTGTATGAATACATATATACATGTCTGTATGATACGTATGTATGGGTATAGGAGGCTAGATAGAGTATATTAAAAGCATTTATTGGGCTAGCTATTGGCATCGTGTTAAGGCAGCTGGATCCCACCTGGCCAACTGTGCAGTTCACATCCCAGACCCAGCAGCTAGAAAAACAAGCCAATCACATGTGCATAGGTGTCCAACATGCTGAAATGAGAGAGAGATGAAAGAAGGGATTGCAGCTTGACTGTCCCCCATGGGAGGTGCTCTCTCACTTTCTCTCTCTACCTCTGTGTTTCTCCAGTGAGCACACATGCCCTTTGGTAAATTAAAGAGAGAGAGAGAGAGAGATCATTTCCCCCTTTTCCCAAAGCAGCAACTTAGATAACAGGATCTCAAAATGAGACCCGAGTGTGTCTTGATGACCTTCTTGACTTGTTGGTGTGGATGATGTGCTTACTTTCCCTAGTACTTATTTTCCTCTTTGTTTCTGCAGATAAACATCATTCAGGGAATTGTGGCCGAAATTAACACCAAGACTGGGGAATCTGAATGCCGCTATTATAAAGAGCGGCTTCTTTACTTGGAAGAAGGCCAGAAAGACTCCTTGATCGACAGCTCCCGAGTCTTGTGTTGCCATGGTGAGCTGAAGAACAACAGGGGAGTGGTAAGTACTTCCTCTCCTGAGCGAGAGAGCTCACCCTGGCTTTCTCTCACCTTCATCTGTTTGATGCTAAACCCCTTCTTTCTGTTCTTTCCCATGTAGGGTCATGTTTGTTCAAACAATAGTTACTTCTTCAGTGTCTGTTAGATCTCTGGATTGTACACACACACGCACATGCACATACATACATCCCTTACATAAAAAAGAATTTCAATCTTTTCATGTCGTGGACCAGTACAATTTCAGAAAGAGTTTTTGTCCACCAGCTTTTTATTTTGTCTGATCATGACCTTCCCAAAACAAAATCTGCAAGTTAACATCTCCCACTTTGATTGTTTTTTTCATAGGACGTTAACAGATTTCGATCTCAGAAAAGCAAATCGCCCTTAAATTGAACACATTAACTTTATGAGAAACTCTTTTCATTCTTCTCTCCTGTAGATTGACACCTATCCACAGACTAGTGTTTTAACACCAGTTTTTTTTTGTTTGGATTTTTGGGGGCTTTAAGAAGTGTATGCCTTCGGGTGCATGCATTCACTGGGAAGAGAGAGAGACACAGACAGTAGGAGAGAAAGTGAGAAATCATCCTTTTAGGAGGAATGGCCACACTGCCGTCCCTTCTCCTCCATTCTCCTCTTGGGATCTCAGGCATACATGCACATGCACTGGGTGTGACTTACTTTCTTTCTTTTTTTTTTTTTTTTTTTTTTTTTGAGAGAGAGATTTTTGTTGTAGGATGCATGTGTTCACCAGAGAGACAGAGACAGAAAGTAAGAAATCACCCCCTGGGGGATGGCCATGCTGCAATCCCTTCTCCTCCATTCTCCTCTTGGGATTTTGGACACACACCCACATGCACCTAGTGTGAGTTTTAAGCCGCTGGGTCCAGGACTCAAACCACAATTGTCCATGTGGGAGTCCAGCAACATAATCACTACACCGTCTGCTACACCATTGTTGTTTTTTTTAAGTAGTATCTTATCTTCCATTGACTGCATATCTAGCTCTGACCTGTAGATGCTCTATATCCTGGCATTTATTCCTGACTAGGTATTGAAATTTCTCCTCGGGACCAGCAGTTAGCGTAATGGCTATGTTGCTGGACTCCCACGTAGTCGACCACTGTTTACATCCCAGCCCCGGTGGCTTAAACTCACGCCAGGTGCGTGTGCGTGCGTGCCCAAGATCCCAAGAGGAGAATGGAGGAGAAGGAATTGTGGTGTGACCATCCCCCCTGGGGAGTGATTTCTCACTTTCTATCTCTCTGTCTCTCTGTCTGTCTGGCAAGTGCATGCGCCCTATGGAAAAAACCTCTCCAAAAAAAAAAAAGTTTCTCCTCTTACTACAGTAGGTGGTAATTCTCTGTCAATATCTTCCATTATAGCATGTTCTTTTAGGGTGGGCACTGTGCTTTGTTAAACCCCAGAACCTATTATGAGAACCTGATGCATACTAGTTGTTTAAAGGAAGGCTATATTTAAATGATAAGAAAGGGCCATCCCTCTGGCTTAGTGATTAAGGGAGCAGATCCAGCATGACTGACCACAGTTCAAATCCTGGCGCAACTTGAAAAACACCAGGTATGTTTGCATGCATGCCCCCAAACTCGAGGGAATGGAGAAATGGAGAAGGGATGGTGGCATGACCATTCCCCATGCGGGGGTGCTTTCTTTTTCTCTCTGTGTCTCTCTGGTGATCAGACATGCCTTCTGGCAATAAAAAGAAAAAAAAAAGGCATATGAGAGTTCAAAATTTATTCAACTCCCAAGGCTCTATGTATGTATAGGCAGCAGAAATGAATATATGTGCATCTGTGGGTATTTATATACAAATTCATCTTTCGTCTCCACAGATTCTGCATCCTTCTTAAGATGGAAAATATTAAATGAATAAGAAATAATGCAAATTTTTAAAATGCCGTATAGCAATATTTACATAGTGTTTACATTGTATTAGGTCATCTAGAGGTGAGTTAAAGTACACGAGCGGTCTATAGTATAGACTATATGCAGATTCTGTGCCGTTTTATGTAAAGGACTGAGCATCAAGGATTTTGGTCATTTCAGGAGTCCTGGAATGATTCCCCTGTGGATATCAAAGGATCACTTTCTCTGTATATTTTTTAGATTTCTGTGTTGAGGTAGCCATAGAAGAGAGGGTCTCCCTTTTGTTTGTATTACGTCTTCAGTATCTAGCCAACCCTTGGGATGACACCCGAAGTAGATAGTGTTCATAAAGCTTTGATCATTGAAAGGACACCCTTTCAGCCTGAACTGAGCAGGCTTGGAAATGTTCCTTGAAATCAGTGTTAACAAGTCATGGTCCTCATCAGCACTGCTGTGGATCCCAGGGGTGCTGCGAGGCAATGGGGTGGTGAGATTTGTCATGGCCGCTGCCTGAAGATGTGTGTGTTGACTAGGGACCTGCCTTTTTGCTAGAGAGAGAATATTAAGAAAGCGCCCCCTAGTGGAGTGTAGTCGCACTGCAATCCCTTCTCCTTTCACCATCTTTCTGGATTTGGGTCAGGCCCGCAAATGTGCCCAATTTGTTTTTTAAGCTGCCCAGGGACAGGATTCAATCTATGCAGTCAAGCATATCCCTTAACTACTAGGCCATGGGGTCAGCTCTTTCTACAATCTTTTTAAATATATGTTTTATTTCTACCAACCAAGATTTGGTTGAGTTTTTTTGTTTCTGTAGTTTTTGTTGTGTGCTTATGTATGGTGGGATTGGGGTGGAAGATCTATAGGTTTCTTTACTCCTAGATATAGAGTTATCTGCTGAGGTTGAATGTACTCCTGCCCCAATCAAGATTCTAAATTGAGGAACATAGACCAGCAAATGGCGTAATGGTTATGTTGCTGGACTCCCACATAGTCAGCTGCAGTTCAAGCCCCAGACCCAGCGGCTTAAGACTCAAGGTTTGGCATGCGTGTGTGTGTGTGTGTGTGTGTGTGTGTGTCCAAAATCCCAAGAGGGGAGTGGAGGACAAGGGATTGTTGCGTGGCCATTCCTCTTGGGGGGGGGGTTATTTCTCGCCTTCTCTCTCCTCCTCTCTCTCTCTCTCTCTCTTTCTCTCTCTGGTGAGCACATGTTTCCTATAGAAAAAATCTCTCTTAAAAAAAATAAAGACTCTAAACTGGGTTTTTCTCTGGTCTTCCTTTGAGACTCATGGGTTGGCATTCCCAAATATTTGCCCCAGAAAACCAGAACTGGGTCAACCTGTGGCATGGTGGTTGGGTGGCTGGATGTTACATGACCAACTGCATAGTTCAAGTCCCGGACTCAGCAGCTTGGGAAACATGCCAGGCGCATGTGTGTGCACACCCAAAATCCCGAAAGGAGGGAGAAAGGATTGTGGCTTAACCCATATTTTCTCGCCTTCTCTCTCTCGCCAATGTGCCTTCTGGCAAATTAAAAATAAAAAAGAAAGGGAAAACATATCTTAGCTGTAAAGTTGTAGATATTCTCACTCTAATTCCTAAGCATTTCCAAAGTGCCAGAGAAGAGTCTGGCCCTGAGAACTCAGTGGAGCTGATTTACTCTCCACCCAGCAAACCTGCTTTCACGAGCCCTTCACCTTCGAGATTTCCTTTTCGCCCACAACACATACACATTCGTCATCTGCCTTTTAAGCCTGACCTCTCCAGAGAACCGAGGTTCTGATTAACGTAGCCGAGAAGAACACTTTGTCTTTCTCTGTGGTGGTGGCAGCATCTCTGTCTCCATCAGGAATGAGCAGTGTTTGAGCCGGAGTTTGCGGACGAAGCTGTAATCAGTTCCGCGGTTGAAGGAACAAGTGTTTTTATGCGGTTGAGAAGCAAAGATTAGTACTAGGCTTTACTGTGCCCGTCTCCGTCGTTTTATAGACTATCATTAATTTCGATCTCCTAGTATCGTACTGGGTAATATAAACCAAAGCCAGGAGAGTGCCAACTTCCTTTCCTTATTACCCTCCATTTTCCCCGTTTCTCATGTCTTCCTGATGGAGCCAGGGGCTGTGTGTCAGCACGGGTTGTGAATAACGGTGTGAGGAGAGCCCCTGGAGTTGGCAGCCCTGGCTGCAGGTGCCTATAGGCTGAAAGTCTTTCTCCCGTGGGTCCCTAGGAGGCGCTGCAGTAGGAAAGGCAAAGGCTGTGTCTGGAAATGCCTCAGACCCCCCCTGTTGTCCTGGAGCCAGACTTGGGCCTAGAAGTCCGTAGTCCAGTGTGAACCTGGTACTGGGACCTCTAGTCACAGGAGGGCCTCAGATCATCCGGTCATTCCAGTGTTGCTTAGGGAAATCCTATGGATTCTTTTCTTCTAGAAACTGCATGTATTCCTGTTCCAAGAAGTGCTCGTGATCACGCGAGCTGTCACCCACAACGAGCAGCTCTGCTACCAGTTGTACCGGCAGCCCATCCCCGTCAAGGACCTCCTGCTGGAAGACCTGCAGGATGGAGAAGTGAGGCTGGGCGGCTCCCTGCGGGGCGCATTCAGCAACAACGAGAGAAGTACGGGCAGCCGCTGGTTAACCTGGGGGACGGTTTTGGTCATGAGAGTTCAGAGCTGGAGCAGAGAGAGGAGCCACAGCCTTGGAGTCAGACTGCGTCCCACTGCGGTCTCTTCACTTACTGCTTGTGGTTCCTGTGTCCTCCGGTTTCCTAGGAATAACACTGAGGCACAGAGGAGTTCAGGCCCTTGCCCAAGGTCAAAGGGCGGAGCCTAAATGGAAGGGACCTGGCTTGTCTTCTAGTCGAAAGTGGCTACAGTGAAACCTTGGGCCGCCTCTGCCTCAGTTGTGTAGCTTGTCGTCATGGGCATCGTGGTTCCATAGTGGTTCCCAGAGGGCTGTGGCGGGTGCAGGGAGACTGACTGCAGATGCTTCTATGAACAGCATTGCCATGTGGCACATGCAGCCCACTAAATGTCAGTTCATTCTATTAGATTTTAACATTTTTTCCCTATTGTGTGTTACCATTTTTTAAATGCATGTGAGCTTCTGCTGAGGTAATTAAAATGTCATCTCGTTTGTAAATGCAGCCAGTTAAAATAGCTCTGTGTTTTCTCCATTATTGGATGGCACAGATACGCTTGACTGATCAGCCATGGGCATGTTTGGTGTTACAAAGAGCTTCTTGCCCTGGAAGGAACGCTAGTTGAGGGCCCTTGTTGAAATGCCAGATTATCAGACCCATCTTAAACCAGTTGAATCCGATCTCTAAGGGTAGGGCCTGAAGATTCAGTGTTTTTAACAAGCTCCCCCAAGGGATTTTGTGAAGTAGCTAGGTTTGGTAACTAAGTATTCTAGGGTCTCCTGAGGGCAACTGAGAGCCAGACCTCTCAGTGTCAACCCGAGTTGGGTGCTGGTGGGTGTAGGCAGAGATGAGCTGTTCTGGTCAGTGGGAAGCACTTCGTAATCAGCCGTTCTGCCTTGGGTACTGGCGGGCTAGTGTCTACCTGTGGTTTGGTTTTTTTTTTTTGTTTGATTGTTTGTTTTTTCCCTGGGGAAATACCTGGCCATTGACTTTTTTTTCTCCTCATGTATTTTTCATTTCTAGTTAAAAACTTCTTCAGAGTCAGTTTCAAAAATGGATCCCAAAGTCAGACCCATTCACTACAAGCCAATGACACCTTCAACAAACAGCAGTGGCTCAACTGTATTCGTCAAGCCAAAGAAACAGTTCTGTGTGCTGCCGGGCAGGCTGGGCTGCTTGACACCGAGGGACCCTTCCTAAATCCCACCACGGGGAGCAGGGAGCCACAGGGAGAGATGAAACTTGAGCAGATGGACCAGTCAGACAGCGAGTCAGACTGCAGTATGGACACAAGCGAGGTCAGCCTCGACTGCGAGCGCATGGAACAGACAGACTCCTCCTGCGGGAGCGGCAGGCACGTGGAGAGCAACGTCTGACCGGCGTGTGCGCTTCCCGGAAGGAGCCCTGTGTCTTACCTGGACAGTATTTGCATTCCACGTACGGAACGGTTTGGAGAAGCACTTTTTAATACTTTTGTGACTGTGTCGGCTCAGTCTCTTGTATCTCTACCTGTGTCCCTAGTACTGTAACTGCCAATCAACCTGTTAATGTAAGCTGGAATCTGTGGCCACTGTTATCCTGTATTGTATTTCACACATGTCTGGATGGATGGAGAGGTACTTGAACAAATTACATTCAATTGTCCTGCTGGATTAAAAAAAAAAAAAAAAAAACAGAAAAAGAATCTCTAAACTACTGTTTTATGTAGATTGCTTGAAGAGTCCTTCCTCCCAAGCTCCTTGAGTGCTCTTCTAGCTCTTTGGCGTAGTAGCAGAAGGCACGGAATTTAGAGGGCCTTGCCAACAGGGTTACGAGGAAGTCGCCCATGTGTTGGGATGGCCCTGGAGGGAGAGCTGGAACGCTCGGTGCTTGAAGGGAAACTGGTAGGATGTTACTCAACCAGAGAAAGTGGGAAAACATCGCTGGGGATTCTGAAGGCTTCATTTTCGATGGAGGACACGTGGTCTGGACTTTGCAGTTTCAAATCCAGTGCAAGTTAGATGCAATAACCTGTTAGGAGAGAGAGGCTGGCCTTCAAAAAGGGCCGGAACGAAAGCAACTGCAAACTCTAAACCTTTCGCTGAAAGGCGCATGGCACCAGGAAGGGTCTGTCTTAGTTGGTGGCTTACCTTCGAGAGCCATTTCTAGCCTAAAACATGAGACGAGCACCCAGGAGCCCGGGAAAGCCCTCCAGGATACTGAGATGCCCTGTCTTCGTTTGTCTCGTCTGCCTAGGCCCACCCCCGTCTTAGCGTAAAGGCCATGGTGAGGCAGAGACCCGGACTGTGTCAGCGCCTCTGTTTACATGAACACACGCGAGGAAGACTTTGTGACTAAGAAGCACTTCCTCAGGGCCTGCTCTGAGAACCATTAAAAGAGAAAAGTACCTAGTGCCTCTGAGAAAGGCCAGAGCCTTGAGTTTTCCTGCTCTGCTTTTGTTTCATCCTTCAGCCATCTCTGGTTCTGTGTTGTAATCATAATTACATTCTCCAGAGATTTCATTAACTCTGATTAATTAGGATCAGCTAGCCAAACTAGTAACCTCTTTTTCCAGCCTTGATTTACATACAGTTCAGGGTGGGGTATAGACCTTAAAAAAAAGTTAAGTAAATACCGAAAAAGCTCCCTGAAAGTGTAAATATTAAGAGGAGCTGTGTAAAATTATACCCACACCAGCACTAGTAGTAATCCTAAATTATTGCCAAAAACATTTTTTAAGTCTTCGGAGTCTTTCAAGTTTACAGAAAAGAAAGCAGTAAATACAAATGTCATTTTATTATGTCCATAGTCATGTGCATTCAGAGAAGCTGTGTGACAAGATCTATCCATATAAAGACAAAGTATATTACTTTATTATTTTTCAAGAGCAAAAAATATTGTGGTCAACCTTTCCCTGTAAAACATATTTCTGTATTTATAGATTTGAAACATGGTGAATTTTTTTCTATTACAAGTTTATTTAAAATGGCTTCGTTTCTCAAGTTGTTACTGATTTTGCAAGTCAGTGAACCTCCTGCAGAAGAAAGCCAAGAAAAGCCATCTGATGGTGAAGAAAATTGAATCATTCTTTGCAGGAGCCATCGGACACTTTGGCCAATGTGTTGATGAAAGAGTTTGTCAAGTATTGGCCAGTGGGAAGAAAGTCAATGAATGTTTTGATAAAATGAATGTTTTTGTATAATGGCCTTAAACTTTTCTGGAAGCATTTCAAATAAATTACATTAAAATATCGTCTTTCTTGTGAACACTGTTTGCCCTACAAACATCAAATTTCAGCTGTCTTCCTGGGGCAGGTTCTTTCCAAAATTAAGTGTGGTACCCAAGTACAAACTTTAAAATAGGGTACAGGTTGAAATAAATGTTTTGGGACTGGCAGGTGGTGTGGTGGTTGAGGCGGCTGGACTCCCACATGGCTGACTGCAGTTTGAGTCCCAGACCTGGCGACTTTCTTTCTCACTTTCCTTCTGTCTCTCTCTGGTCAACTTCAAAAAAAATAAAAAATAAAATAATGACAATAAATAAACTTAAATAAAAAATAGCTCTATAAAAAAGAAATAAGTGCTTTGATTTGGTCTAACAAAACTTTCTGCAGAATTCCCATTTCTAAGATCTATTGTTTCAACCATTTTCTATTTACTCACTTACTTTTAATAACGACCTTGAATCCATACTATGTATAAAGTCAGGCGATAAGTCCTTATTTTTATAGAAAAGAAGTGTTGAATCTCACTGGTATTTAGGTCACTGTTGAAAACCTTGAGGCTGTGAGTTCAACAGGTGGCATGGTGGTTAAGGTGCTGGACTCCCACATGGCTGACCGTGGTTCAAGTTCCAGGTCTGGCAGCTTGAAAATCACGCCAGGCATGTGTGCATGCACACCCACCCAAGATCCCAGGAGGAGAATGGAGTAGAAGAGATTTGCTGCGTGGCCATCCCCACTGGGGGAGTGATTTCTCACTTTCCCTTTCTCCATGTCTCCCTCTGGCTAGTGCATGTGCCCTATGTCAAAAATCTTAACGGGAGGACCAGCAGTTAGCTATGTTGCTGGACTCCCACGTAGTCGACCGTGGTTCGCGTCCCAGACCCAGTGGCTTAAAACTCACGCTGGGCACGTGTGCATGCGTGCCCAAGATCCCGAGAGGAGAATGGAGGAGCAGGAGATAGAGGCATGGCCATCCCCCCTGGGGGGTGATTTCTCGCTTTCTGTCTCTCTGGCGAGCACACGCGCCCTATAGCAAAAACCTCTAAAAAAAAAATAAAATCTTAACAGGACCAGCAGGCGGCATAGTGGTTGTGGTGCTGGGCTTCCACGTGTCTGTCCAGACCCAGCTGCTTGAAACTCACACCGGGTGCATGTGTGTGCATGCCCAAAATCTCAAGAGGAGAAAGGAGGAGAGGGGATTATGTCATGGCCATTGCCCAGGGGATTTCTCAGTTTCTATCTCCCTGTCTCTCTCTGTGTCTCTGATCAGTACACATGCCCTATAGCAAAAATCTCTCAAAAAAAAAAAAAGAAAAAAGAAAAACTCAATGCTAAATAAAAAAAGGCAAAATTTCACTTTGAAATCCTTTTTTTACATTAAAATGACTTTATTTTCTGCAAAATGTAGTTCTCAGATTAAGACTAAACAGTTCTCATCTGTTGGTAGCGCATTTTCAGTAACTCATTAGCCCAATAAGGTTGTAGTCAGTTTTGTCTTTATAATTAACTTTCACGGTTTTATTTAACATACTATCAACTCCCAGATGAGGCGAGATATTAACATATTTATATGTTAAGTCCCAATTTTTTTCCAAATGAAAACTCGCTGTTCTCCTCCCTCTTCCGTCCTTCTGTCTGTCTTATCCTTACTCAGTGTCACTCTGGATAACCCTTCCACTTTTCACTCCCGTACTTATGTTGACCGTTGTTACTAGAGGACTAGGGTTTTTTTTCTTGAGTGAAAAGACAGAGGCAGCACCTCCAACAGGGTCTTGATGCCACATTCGAGATCAGCCTAGCCTAGCCAGTTCTGGATCGTGGCCCACATGTGCCTGGCACGCTCAGGGAGGTCTCTGGACACAAACCCACAACCTTCCCAGGCGGGTCAGCCTTGCAGAGCTTTTACTGCTATGCCACCGGCTGGCCCCAGAGATGGTCTCTTTCCTGCTACATTAGACAAAGTTAATATTGACAATCTGTGGGTTCGTACAGACGACTGAGGGTGAAATGGTGTTTCTTCGGTCTGTTTTCACGGTGTGTCTTACAACTATATGTAATCCTTACAGTCTAAATGAAAAGTCACAGTGAAAAGAGCCACAACTAGCACTTGGTCCACAATTAGAGCGTGGCTTCAGCTTCTGGGCTGTGGTCACCACCACTGACTGCATTCGTTTCCATTTCTGGCACCGCTTCCAGCAGCTAAGAATGCAAAACTCGTAATAACCACCATCCTGTCTCTACAGACTGTGAGTATGGGAAACTACAGCCCACTCTCCTGGTGAACAAGCTGTTCTGCTTCACATTCTGTCCATGGCCAATTTTAACTAAGTTTCCAAAAGCGTAAGCACTCAGAAATTTGGTGAAGAGATGGGGCCAGCAGGTGATGTGGTGGTTAAGGGTGCTGGACTCCTACATGGCCAACCACGGTTCGAGTCCCGAATCTGGCAGCTTGCTTCCTCTCATTCTCTCTTTCTCGCTCGCTCTTTCTCTCTGCCCCTCTCTGGTCAAATAAAATAAAAATAAATAAAAGTTAAATAATTCTTTAAAAGGAAAAAAAGAAATTTGGTGAAGAGAATGCCTGTCCATTCAGTTTCACTTGGGTTGGTTTTTGATTCATTTCTTCTCAATCCAGAGACTGGGATATTTTTTTCTTATAATTTTTTGTTTGATATTTGCTTCTCACAAATTTGTATTTTCTCTTTTAGGAACTCTGAGAGAGAGATGATGATGAACCTCCTGGATGCCATGTCTTACTTCCTAGATTAATTTTCAAATAGTTTTGCTCCTTATTCTTATTTTTAATTTCCCTAGATGTTGCTATATTTTGTTCTATCCTCAGAGATATTTCTTCACCTTTCTCTTCTAGCCCTTCTATGAAATTGAGACAATTGCCGTCACAGTTTTTTTGTTGTTGTTGGTTTTTAAGTTTATTTCTTCCATGAGTGAGAGCAAGAATGAGCAACTACAACAGGGCCATGATGCTGTGGTCCACCTCCGACTCAGTCAGGCCTGGTCATGGACACAGGCGTGCCTGGTGTACTCGGGCGAGTCTACCAATGCTGTGGATCAGCTTCACAGAGTCTTATCATACCACTGTGTCAACGCCCAGCCCCCGTCCCCTCTCAGTTCTTATTGGTAAAGGCTTTTCCTTTTTCTATATCATTCCTATACTTAGAGCATCCCTGTTCTTACCGAGTGAGACTGTCTTCTCTAGACTCTGAGGTTATCATAGTTGGATTGATTTTTTTTTTCTTCTTGCATTGTTTGTTTGCTGGGGATGATAGTAATTCATAGGATTGTTGGGAGGATTAAAAGTGCTAATATATCTAAACTATTTAGTAGGTTACCAGGAAAGTCATGTCTCGTTTTTGCATAGAAAAAAACACATCATGGGGGCCAGCAGGCAGCTTGGTAGTTAAGGGTGCTAGACCCCCATGTGGTCGACTGCTGTTCATGTCCCAGACCTGGTGGCTTGCTTTCTCACTTTTTCTGTCTCTCTTTGGTCATATTAAAAATAATAAGTAAAGTTAAATAAAATAATTCTTAAAAAGAAAACACGTCATGACTTTTCCGATGACCTGATAGAATGGTGCCATGCCAGATATTTCTGTCTCTCTCTCCAAATCACTCTCTCCCCTGATCCGCCCGTCCGTATGCCCACGTACCCCGTATGTGTTTCATCAGTGGGCTCTCCTGCGGGCTGTGTCAGTTTGGCTTGGCCAAATGAATCCTCTCATGAGATCAATGAGGAGAAGAGGAGTGAGGTTGGATTATTTGTTCCCCCTGCTCCCTCCTGAAGGTCACCTTGGGCTGGCTGCATCTCTTGTCATGAGGTCATAGCTCCTCAGAAGGAATCCTTTCTTTTTTTTTTTTTTTTTTTTTGTTTGGAGAGATTTTCGCTATAGGGCATGTGCGCTCGCCAGACAGAGAGAGACATAGAGACAGAAAGCGAGAAATCACCCCCCAGAGGGGTTTGTGACTCTGCAGTCCCTTCTCCTCCATTCTCCTCTCGGGATCTTGGGCACGCACGCACATGCGCCCGGCGTGAGTTTTAAGCCACCGGGTCCGGGACGCAAACCACGGTCGACTACATGGGAGTCCAGCGACATAGCCATTACGCTAACTGCTGGTTCCCAGAAGGAATCCTTTCTGAGTTCCTTCCAGTCTTGGATGGTAATTACCCCACTGTCACCAGCCCCAGAATATGGCATTGTCCTTGCATTCTGCCCCCAACTTTATATAAGGAAAGTGCTTTCATTAAGTCCTCCTAATTTGAATGTTATATTTGAATATTTGAAAATGCTACCGATCGCGCTGGTGCCTGACTTAATGAATGTTAGGGCCATGTACTAGCATATCAATGTGATTATCCCACCATGTGCTTTCCATCTTCATGTGTTCAAGGGTACAAAGCTCTCTGGGATCATCAAAGGTGGATTTTGCATGTCTACTGCTCGTTATCGTGATGAGTTATTTTCTGAGATGAGAAATGACAGTAGCTTTCTGAAACAATGGTAAAATACTTCACAGACACAAAAGCTGAAGGAATTTATCGTCAGCAGACCTCGACTGCAAGAAGTGATCCATGGACCTTTGGACACCCTGTGGAAATAAGGACTCACATAACAGAGGGTGGAGCACCGGAGGGTGGAACCATGCGGAAAAATAGCCCAGGCCTCCATTTCAATCTCTGCAAATTATTGGCTCAAGGCCCAGCCACAGTGGCATGAGCAGGAGAGCACCACCGTGTGGTGACTGAGGCTGCTGGGAAGACCTCGGTTCCGTTCCCAACCTGACCTAAAAGAGGCTGGGTATTGGGACCAGCAGGTGGTGTGGTGGTTAAGGTGCTGGACACTCCCACATGGCCAACCAGGGTTCAAGTCCTGGACCGGGTGGCTTGCTTTCTCACTTCCTCTCTCTCTCTCCCTCTAACCCTCTGTCTCTCTCTGGTCAAATTAAAAAAAAAAAATCAATGAATGAATAAATAAAAATTAAAATAGTTATTTAAAAAAAAAAAAAGAGGCTGGGTATG